CTTCCAGTAATCAGGGCATTCACTACCTGCAGCTGTCGACCTCGCACGAGTTCCGCCAGTACGACTGGGGCACCAAGAAGAATCGTGACCTCTACGGCCAGGATCTGCCGCCAGACTATGATCTGAGCAAAATTACGGCCAAGACGCATTCCTATTCGAGTCAAAACGATGCGCTGTGCGGTCCAGAGGATGTGGACACTTTGGTCGCCGAGTTCACCCACCTGGCTGAGGATCATCGAGTGCCCCTCGCGAGTTTCAATCACTTGGACTTTATTGTGGCCAAGAATATGAAGGAACTGGTCAACGATCTGATTGTTGACCGCATCAATGGATACGAGGCGCGCTAAACAACTAGGCTAATGGATCGATTGTATTGTAATGGATCTACATATATATGAGAGCAGACATAAAGCACTAAAAATATGCGAACCTAGTTTATTGGGGCTCTTCTTAGATAGGATTAGATAAGATTATGACTGCATTGCTCGATTACTTGAACTCTTGCAATCTAAATATACACATATTAAATTTCCAGGTCTTTAAGCAATATATTATATATAGCTGACATTTCATATAGACCAAATTTCTTTCAAATATCTTGCTTCAAGCACTTTGCTTTGAGAGGAAGTCTTACCACGTCTTGTGCAATAGCCTAAAAAGCTCTTAACATGCATATCTCAAATCCAGGGCTACCTGGTATACCTATGTCTAGCCATAGACTCGATGTAGCTGCGCAACTTCAGCGAACAACAGAAAAAAAAAAGAAACTTTTTGCGCCGAGAAGCGTAACATGGCTTTTCAACAAAATTTTGTAATCATTTAACAACAGAAACAGAAAAAAATAGAAAAATAGTAGAAAAATAGAAGTTGTGGCTGAGGCAGGGCGTGAAACGGTCCGAATAGCTGCTGCCGCTGCCGCTGCCGCTGCCACTGCTGTTGGAGTAGACCTCCTCTTTGCCACTCCATAGCGTCGCTTCGTACGCATGCGCGCCGAGTTTACATCAAACGAACCTTGAAATTATTGTCGTTTTCATCATTGTCTGTAATTTCGTTGGCTTCCAGCTGCTGTTCAGCTCTAAGAGCTGCCGCACTACCTGTACACCTGTACATCTGGGAGCTGCTGCCTGCCTGCCGCAACTAAGTGTGACTTGAAGGTCTGTTTGCAGCTCCAACTGGAGCTCCGGCTGCTACGCGACAGTTTCACCATTTTTGCTCTGATTTCTTTTGAGTCTCTCCTAATTAAATAACTGTTAGTTCTTTGAATTTGCCTGTAGTACATTAAAACTGTGTTTTGTGTGGAATTCATGCGACGGAGCTTCAGATTTGCGAAGCGAGATAAGAAACGGTTCAAGCAAATGTGAGAGCGAAAATTCCTTCATACTGGCGCCATCCATTGGCAGTAAGGGGAACTAAAGACAAAGCAAGGCGGGCATTGCCTGGCGCCCTCTATCGCCGGGTAGTAAATGAGACAACAGGCAAGGATATTTGTCGGACTACAAATATATTGTTTCCAACTAGCTTACTCCAATTAGAGCGTATCCAATATATCCGTGTAAGTTTTGATGTTTAAATTAATTATTGTGTAGATTTCAAATATTTGATTTAAACACTTTTGAAATATTTGTTAGCTTTTCATAGCCTTCACAGAAGCACAAATTTTCTTTCTCTCTTAATTTTCACTTTACTTTCAAGCGCACTTTTGCTTTTATTATAAACTTTTTGCAATTCAATTAAAAATGCACTAAAGCTTCGACGTTTATTTGTTAAGAGCCCAACTAGGCGAACCGTCTCGTTTGGAATGCGCGTTAAAACTGTTTTCAAAACGTTATGCGAAGCCAACGGATTACTCAAGATTTCTACAAACGTTTTTTCTTATTTTTTTTATGCTTTGTGTGTTTTGTTTTGAGCGTTCAGCATTGGCTGGAATGCGGGGGAGTAGCGCCAAGAAGCGAATGCTTCCTGCCTGTGCAATATCGGAGCACATTTGGCGCCACACTTGGCTGATTCTCACTCGCACCAGCCGCGACAGACAGTCGTCAACTTGACTCACAGCGCTTGTGGATCGTATGTGGAACGTGGTTGATACCTGAACTGTGACCAGGCTACAGGGGTCGAAGCTGGCTGGTCATGCTGCTGCTGTCGGCGCGAGGTTGTTTATGCTTAAGATGATATTGAAATTGCAAGTGAAATTAACAAATTAACTTTACAAATTGCTTGTACAGCAACGAAGGCCAGAAGCAATTGCTTGACTTTTGGCACAAGTCTGGCATTGAGTTGGGATATTACTTGAAGATTATTCTGATTGGGGAAAATTGCCCAAATCAGTAGAGAGCTGCAAATTGAACATGTGGAATGAATTTGTGATATAGTCAGTTGGAATGTAAGTACTAACTGAGATTTTAGCAATTAGAAAACGTTTTCTATTATATGACTGAGTTTTCTGACAAGCTTTTACTACAAGCTATACAATTAAATTTTAATGAACATAATTATAGGCTATGAGCTAAAGTGTTGCAAGAGCTATGAAACATTTATTGAACAGATTTTTAACACGTATTTACGAATATCTGTATAATAGTTTTCAAAATAAAAGATTGTTAACAAAACATACATAAAAATATAAAAAATATTTCTATAATATTATTAAAAATTCAGTTTTTTATTTTTCGCCCAAATCTGTGTTCCATGAATTTGACAAACCTTATTTTGAAGCCAACTAATTGGTTCGAGTCATGAACCAAACCATGTTCATGCTCTGAGCTCTGTTTCAGCCCTGTTTCTCATTTCACTTTCATTTCTAACCGTTTGTCGTTCATTTCCTTGCCCGATATCTCACGCTATCTTAGGGGGCTCTTTCTGCTCGGCTCACTTTTGCTAAATTAAATTAAAGGCCTCATAAAGCGCTTGATGCACGTTTTAGTTTTTCTATTCGTTGTTGTTGTTGCTGCTGCTGTAACGTCATCATTATTATTGTCTCTTTATGTGAGTTACATAAAAATCTAGCTCCAGTTGCGGCATCGCTTGGCTGCCCAAGACGTCTGGAATGCGCACAGGGACCAAAGAAAGACCATATAACACTTCCCCAATATGTGGCGCCCATTGAGCAAGAGTAAGAGGCAGATAAAATTTCTTTTTAAAACATTTATATCCAATTGTATTTGCCAGCTGTCTGGCCCGTTAGTTGTAGTTCTCACAGAAGAAAAGCGTACACCCAAGTCTTTGTAGTCTCTACATAATTTTTACGTATTTTTATTTTCATATTTTCGAATCGCAAAACGCAACTACGTCAACTAAGGATTGTCAAGGCTGCAGAGAGAAAATCGTATTCTAAAGTTCTATAAATGAATTGCTCATACGCAAAACAATTATACGCTCGTTTGAATATTGTCTATATATTATTTTCATTCTGTATGCTGATAACCCCCGCGAATAACAATTTGCATTACGTGCTATAAAATTAGTGCAAGTTCAATGCATTATCAGATTGTGTAGCACCCGTTTTTCCACAAACATGTGGACCGATTCCATTTAGAGGCCCTTGCCCCAACACTTAATTGTATTAAATTGAGTTCTCGATCCCTTAACAGACTTACGCATTTACATATATCCGTTGTCAAGGTTAATTGAGTTTACTGTGCAATAACAGAGCTGTTTAACAGCATTTAGCTGAAAGTTCTGCTGCAGAGAGACAAAGCTGAAGCGTATATCATACTACTAGGCGATATGCGCTCAGCTCTATAGTAGTAGAAAGTGAAATAGTAGTAAGCTAATAGTAGTTAAATGTGAAAATATAAGTGGTAAAATAGGAGCAGCTAAAAATAGTACTAAAATTTATAATAGTAGTACTGATGAGTATAAACGTAGTATTGAGAGAGAAATAGTAGTAGAAAGTTTAAAATTAGTAGTAAATTTAGTAGGAGCTTAACATGTCAAGGCTGAATTGTGATATACTCTTCAGTATAATCTAAATTTCTACTACTAACATTTAATTTATTATTAATTTCATATAATTTCTTTGTAAAATATTTGTATAACTACATTTTTTACTACTTATTTACAATTGTATAGAATTTTTAATATTTGCCTAATATGAAGATGTTAAAAGTTGAATAAGATTGTAAATTAGTAATGAAATGTGCATTATATATGTAGCAGAAGCAAAAGCCGAACAGTAGTGCTATAGTATATATATATGGGTGAAAGACCTGAAGAGCACTGGCGTGATTTCAGTCAAAAATAGGGGGTACATTTTTAGATGTAGAGGAATAGAAGTAATCATAAAATAGACACACATATGTATGTATATATACTACATATAATTCTAAATATGTTTCTAGATTGTACACGTAACAAATACGATCAAATCTATCTACTCTCCATTGTCATATGTATGTAGAGCACCCTGTATAAATATGCTTCCATGTACATATTTATTATTGTTTCTGTTTTTTGCATAACCGACACACGAAATAGCGAAATAGACCTGCCTCCCAAAAGGAAACCTGCGCAGCTAAACTATGTTAATTGTTGTTGCTGTTGCTTTTCCTTTGATTGTTGTTGTTGTTGTTGCTATTGTTATTGTCAATTGGCGGGCCTCCTCTCCGGTGGCAGCGTGCTGCTTTCGCTTTTATTGAATTATAAATGGCAAAGCCCGAGCAAATCTTTGCCATGGTGACAACGACAACAACAACAACAACAACAAGGATGGCAGCAACAACTATAACGTCTCATAATGAATCAAAAAAAATGAGAAAATAAAAAACGAGAAAATTGAGTGTTTGCCAAGTGTCGACAACTAGCGAATGGAAATCCGAATGCTCACCCGATATGTGCGCGAATAGGCGAGTATAACATATAGTGAATTATATTCGATGCTCGACGTTCGTAAAAATGATTTGCTGAAATTCAAAATCAGTTGAATATTGTAACTCGCTGCGTTGCGGCGTTGCGGGTCCGTTGTCCAGTGTCGCTCAATCTCTTCCGTAATACCGCAGTACAGCATGTGGCGCAAGTGCCTCAGCAGCCTGGTGGCCAGTGGCCAGCGTCAGATGCAGCCGGTGGTGCGTCTCATGCACCAGCGTGTGCCCGCCAGCAGACCGCCAAAAATTCTAATCACCGGTTAGTGAAGGGATTCAAATAAATACACATACATATATGCACTTGGCTCAATTCTAAACACTTCCGTTTTCCGCCTGCCTCCAGGTGGTCTCGGCCAGCTGGGCATTGAGTGCGCCAAGCTGCTGCGCTCGCAGTACGGCAGCGAGAACGTCATACTCTCGGACATCATAAAGCCCAGCCAGGCGGTGCTGGAAAATGGACCCTACATCTTTGCCGACATCCTGGACTTCAAGGGCCTGCAGAAGATAGTTGTAAATGAGCGCATCGATTGGCTCATTCACTTCTCGGCGCTGCTCAGCGCAGTGGGCGAACAGAACGTGCCACTCGCAGTGAGGTAGGTGCCGCCAGTGGTCGCAGCTAGTCCCAGGTATTATCTAACCTTACCCAACCAACTTCAGGGTCAACATTGAGGGCGTGCACAATGTTATCGAGCTGGCGAAACAGTATAAGCTGCGCATCTTTGTGCCCAGCACGATTGGCGCCTTTGGGCCCGATAGTCCCCGCAATCCCACACCGAACATTACAGTGAGTGCTGCAAGCTCTACTCCCATTTCAGTTTGTTCAATAATGGTGACTCGCTCTCGCTCTCTACCAGATACAAAGGCCTCGCACTATTTACGGCGTTTCCAAGGTGCACGCCGAGCTCATTGGCGAATATTATTATCACAAGTTCGGCTTGGATTTCAGATGCTTGCGCTTTCCGGGCGTCATTTCCAGCGATCCACCAGGCGGCGGCACCACAGGTGAGTCGTAACCGGGCTAAGATCATTAACATAAAGAGAGTGCACTAAATTGATTAAATTATTAAATTATTTAATAGTTTTATTAGCATACGCTCTTTGCTGTTGAACGTAGCGTGACAAAGTGCATATTCATATGGAATTAGTTCAGTTGTGGAAAGGAAATTGTTGCTTGATAATGCAATGATAATTTGATAATAAAATTAGATCTTTAGTTGAGTCTATGAATTTACTCTTAACTGCCAACCTAACCCCACTTTTCTCTCTCTCTCTCTCTCTATCTCTTGCAGATTATGCCGTTGCCGTCTTTCATGAGGCACTGCGGCATGGCAAATACACTTGCTACCTGCGGCCAGACACACGTCTGCCCATGATGTACATTGAGGATTGTCTGCGGTAAGTGCAGAGATCTATAAGTTGACTAGAGCTCTCTCTATATGTATTACTCCTCCGCAGTGCTCTGCTCGAGTTCATGCGCGCGCCCAATGAGAAACTGAAACGACGCGTCTACAATGTCACGGCCATGTCCTTTACTCCCGAAGAGCTGGTGGATAAGCTTAGCAAACACGTGCCACATTTGCATGTGACCTACAAGCCGGACAGCCGGCAGTCCATTGCCGATTCGTGGCCGCAGGTCTTCGATGATTCGGATGCGCGTCGCGACTGGCACTGGCAGCACAAGTACGACTTGGACAACCTGGTCGATTTCATGGTCAAGGATGTGCAGGCGAACTACATCAATGTGGAGAACGGAGAGCGGCAAACGCTTAAGATTTAAGAGCAGCATCTATCTGCAACTACAAAGTATTCCACACCATCAAATGAGATTCTAATGGCATTTAAAAGCATTTCAATGTACAATTTGTTCAATTCATTATCTACACAATGACAAAATTTAGTAAATATACACCACGAACTTTTACAGAAGCAATTTAATAAAACTGAAATTAGAAGAATTGAATTATTTTAGAGCATTGTTTTCTTAAATTGGGCTTTGCTTCTGCTATGGGCAATCAATGCCGAATTCATTTCATAGTTTGAATATTTCAAATCTCTATATTCACCACAGCGTTTATTCACCATCCGCTTATCGATACACGAGTGGAATGCGTTATCGAAAAATCTAAAAAGCTCGCAGCAATTTGAATATGCGCTACCTATAGAATATATCGTTTCGATGCAGTATAAACATATCCTATTTAGATTTTCCAGGATATAACTTAAATATGTATATAGAATATATATTCATATTCATATATTCAATTCAATAATCATTAAAAAAAAGCCACGATTATATGTTTCATATTCAATTATATATTTCTTTTGGGGCTTAAATCTTTCATTACACTTCATTTAAGTTAATTTAAGCACCTTTTGTATTTGGGACTTGCACAAGAATCCATTTAATGTTATTTTCAAAGTCTTAACATCTACTTAGACTACGTTATACAATGCATTATGGTTAGTTAAGGTTCTATGTATAAATACATATACAGTGCTTCGTACGACAATTAATGTATTAGATCTCAAACTCTTCGGCCGCATCATTGTAGTGATGAAGACAACCGCCATGTGTGGCTATATACAAATCGGCTGCCTCATCTCTCAACTTGGATTCACATTTAGCCTCTAGTATATCATTTAGGGACTCTAAGGTATTGCATAATATTTCAGGTTGTTGTGGCTGTTTATGATGTCGTTGGCCGTCTGTAAACGAGCAGAGAGCAAAGAGGTTTTTCTTCTATCAGTTTTATTTTGCAATTTTTATTTGATTTCGTTTTTTTTTTTTTTTTTTTTTTTTTTTAAGGTTTTCCCAACTCCGAACTTTTTTAGTTAGCAAACCATTCACAAAGTGTTTATAGATTTTTTTAAAAATAAATTTGTCTTACAATAAGTACAGAATTTATTAGTAGATTTCCAGTTGATGGTAAAAAGTACATGAATATATTTCGATGAGTGTAAATCAGTGAGTAGATAAGCGATAGATTGTGCATTTTAGTATACACAAAGTACAATTATAATTTGTTTTCTTTTAAAAAGAGAAACGCTTTTTCCAAATAAAAGTTCATTTCAATTGGATCTGGACAAATTTTCCAATATATTATAGGAATGCAAAGCCAAGAAAATATTCCTAAGACGGAGAGTTTTTTATTGGGCTTGATAGACTTCCAGAATCTAAAAGGAAATTCTATTTTTGCTCTATTAATTAAAAGACCTCGCAAGAATTTTGAATTGGCCTTGAAAATAGCAATTAAACAGAATTTTTTAGATTCAACAAGGAAAAAAATAAAAAATAAAAATAAAAGATAAGATAAACATATCAAGAGTACAATATTCTGAATTCTAGCTTCAGTCATAAAAGTCATAAAAGATCATTCTATAGGAATTGGGTTGATTAAAATAACGTCTCCTAATTTATGATATATGAGTCATCGTAATAGTTCCAAATTCATTTCGTAATGAGCACATGCATTTTGACGGAATCGAATAGGGAATTTTGGATAGGACTACAAAGATTTCATAAATTATAAGAGATGTTGAGATAACACAATCATAATGATGATCAGACGAAAGTAGCAAAAGATAGAATTTCAGGAATATAAAAAACAAATAGAAAAAAATGAGCGGAGAGTTCTTCCTCAGGCTTGAACAGCCATTAAATGGAAATAATAAGAATTACAATCGAAAATTGACAGATATACCAAAACATTGGTCATAAGCCGTCAACAATTGTTTCATATAGATAAGCAAAAGGAAAAATAATAATAAAATAAGGATATCATTTGCCTATTAGCAAATGGAGGACAGAAGCAAATGTGCAATAAACTGCACACCATAAAAAAAAAACCGTAGAGCAAACACTTTGTGAAAGGCCTTTTGCTGGCAAAGCTTGTGCCAATTGAACTTACAGCTAGATTAGACTTAATTAGGATATTGCTTAAGTGTTAGTTAATTTGATTGCAACGTTTGTCATAATAATTCAAATATTAAATGTTCATTTTCAATTTAAGTACATTAAGTAGATTCAAAACCGTTTCGTTGCGAGTACTGATACAATTATTTCTTCACTTTTTTTCTTCTTGTTATTTGTACAATGCGGCGATATAAAACAATTCACTTGATATATGTATACAAAAACACAATAGGTGCACATATATATGCATAGTTAATTATATACATATATACATACATTATTGATTGATTGATTAATTGATACGTTTGCCATTTAAATGTGGATATTTTTAACAATTGCTTTGGCTCATTTCTATTGCTTATTTGATTTGTTCATTAAGTATACGCGATGTTGGCACGCCGACAGTTTTCAGAGATTTTGTGTGTGTGTGAGAGTGTGTGTTTATATGGGTTGTTCTGTATGAGTAATATGCAAATTTTTGGATATACATTTAATATTAGCAACTGCGGCGGCAAATGGAAATATTTCGTTTTTACTCTTGCGGTGACAGACAGAGAGACGTGTCGGTGAACTGTTGCATGTTGTGTTTGTGTTTGTGAGTCTGTGTGCTATATACAAAGATTGTACACAGATACATACATATACATATATATATATATATATACATATAAACATATACATAGGGGCTATATGCATGTATCTAGATCATGTGCGACATCATGCAACGACTCACATCACGGTTAGCGCGATGCAAATGACCTTGATAATGTTGATGGATGCGTGGATGCAACAGTTGCTGCTGCTGCTGCTGCTGCTGCGTTGACTGTAGATGTTGTTGATGCTGGTGCTGTTGTTGTGTCTGTTCATGCTGTTGCTGGTGCTGCTGTTGTTGCACATCATTATCGTAGTCCATTAAGCAGGCCTGCGTGCCAATCATTTGTGTGGCGGGCATCGAAAAGAAATCTGTGTAAAAAGGAACACATTAGTGTGTGTGCTTAACAGAATTCATATACACATACATACATATATGGAAAAAGTTCAAATAGCTATATTAAGTTTAATTTATTAATTTGGAATTGCGTTTTCAGCATTTTCCAAATGCTGACGTTAGCTTTGCAGTCGGCGTCGCTGTTCGCGCCGATATGTCCCAATTACGGTTCATTTATAAATAGCCGGTAAATACTGTAAGCAGCGTTGACAGCGACAGCGACGTCAACGGCGACAGCGACTGCAAAGCGACAAGCAGTGCTGCCATTGGTTATCGGCCTACTACCTCCCGTTCCCCCTGCCATAACTAAGCTCTGATTGCGCCGTTGTCAGCGATAACAGGTAAAGATCGCCGACTATAAAGCATGTTGTTTAGCTAAACGCAAGCGATAACCTAGTTGTACAATTAAATAAAAAATAATGAAATCTAGAATGGCTGATAAAGGAGCTTAAAAAACGGACCTTATAGATCCAAGCTTGTCGTTAGGGTCGAGCAATCAGCGATAACTTGAAACTTTTATTTAAATAAAATACCCCATAGTTAAACAAATATGAACTGGGTTTCATTGAAGCAAAATATATCAATATTTTGAAGATTTAAACTAAATTCGAATTATTAATTGCACTCAATTCTTGAAATTTCGTTTTTGATTCCCTCTACAGGGTATTTCATAATTGATCACTGTCAATTTGATCATTTTAGACGTTTACAATGAGGTCATAAACAGCGATAGCAGGTAAATTATAAACCAAACTGAACAAATATCTATATACAATATATACTATATGTATTTGCAAGGTAAATATTTTTTGCTACAAATGTATATATGCATCTATGAGCACACTCATAGACTTATACTTATACATACACATATATTAGTTAAGAAATATGGATAGGCTTATCGCTTGAGGTTGTTAAACTAGGTCGACAACATTGCTTTATCAGCAAAATCTTAATTATATTTAAATATAATAAAAAATTGACAGAGATAACCTAAAGATCCTATAATAGAGGTTTCCAAAGTATTTGCAACGATTAAAACATGTACTAAATACTTGGATTACGTGTATGACTGACCCTAAATACATATGTACATAAATATAGGCATATGTTGGCATATTTCTGTTCAACTGACAGTTGCATAATATTATATTTTATGGATTGGCGAACTATACTAAATGGAGCTAGGGTATCACAGTTGTGAATCAATTGTCTAATTAGAATCTCTTCAGATAGCAATCAATGAAAACAATTTCTGATAAGCATGACCCAGAAAAATGGCAGGCGAAAAAAAGAAGCACATAGGCCCGCACAAAAGCGTTGCCAACAAGTTACAAAATCGAATTTTGTAACACAATTTACGAAATGTTTTCCATCGCATGCGGCAGTCAAAGAGAGCGCACATTTTTAGTTGCTGTGCGGTGTGAAAAGCTCAAGGCCAACCGCAAAAATATGTTATGCACTAAATGTAAGCATTTAATTTATAATTTGATTTATGCGCATAATTACCGTTGCAATACTGTGCGGCCAGATCGGCATCATCAAAACGGCATCGCTTGACGGACGTCAAGCTGTCCATCTCCATGTCCAACTTTTCGTGACCCATTGCAAAGCAACGCTTCTTGCAGCGTGCTGTTGCGGCAGCAGCGGCGGCGGCGGCGGCGGCAGCGGCGTGCGTACTGTCATCTCCAATGTTGTCGTTTACTTGCATTTGCATTGCCTGTATATTGTTGTTGTTGCAGCTGTTGTTGTTGTCGTCCGAAGCGGCAACTGCATTGTTTACAATCGCATAGCCATAGTATCCGTTCGATGCGGTTGCAATGTGTGAGACGACACGTGCGTTGAAAGGATCCACTGGTGAATGGCGCGCCGGCGGTCCACTTTCGAAATGGACAGGCGCAGAATCACCATGTGCCCAGCACTCGAAATTCGTCAATACCATCGCTGATGCTATCGGTGAGCAGTGGAAATTTCCCAAGAATATATTGTATTAAGCGCACATACACTGACACACACACATTAATG